TGAGCTAACATCTGCCAATCCTCCTCTTTTTGCTGAGAAAGACTGGCCCTGGGCTAACATCCATGCCCATCTTCCTCCACTTTATATGGGACACCGCTACAGCATGGCTTGCCAAGCGGTGCATCAGTGCGCGCCCGGGATCCGAATCGGCAAACCCCGGGCTGCCGCAGCGGAGCACACGCACCTAACCGCTTGCGCCACCAGGCCAGCCCTGAATGTTTATTGAATAAATGAATGGGGAGAGAAGGTGAATGCAAGGAGGGATTGGGAATGCATGGACCAAGAATGATAGTCTGCCATGAACTAAAGGGACATGAGTAACTGGTCTCTATTGTCTGAAATTCAAATTAGACAGGGACAAGATTTTGGTAAGGTCTTTGGGTAAAAGGTGTTTATTTAAAATTTGCTAACACAATGAATTACAAGAACTCATGCTGGGCTCATCACTGAGACATTTGAGATCATTTGAGATAAACAGAAGATCCAGAAAGCTTCCAGAGAGGTGATATATGAAAAACAAGGAGCCACAGGGCATCAGTTTTCTCCATTGTAATACCAGGAACAAGACAACAATTCTTCAAATTCTAGATAAACCATTTCCAATCTAGAATTTTCTACCCAGCCAACCAGTTAAGTGTGAAGATAAAGACAAAAACATTTTTCAGACATACGGTTTCAAGAAACTTCCTCCTGTGGAGAAGCTACTAAGGATGTTAGCTACTAAAGGATGTTCTCCACCACAGAGGCAGTAAACCGAGAAAGGAGATAGAGATCTGCCCCGGAGCAAGGCAAAGAGAATGTCCTAGGACAGTATCGAAGGGTAGTCTCAGAAAGACAGCTGTGCATCAGGCATAGAGAACAGCAGTCCAGATCGAACAAGGGCAACAGAAGGTTCCAGGAAGGAAGTTTCCAAAAATAAAAATGGAAACCTGCCTTCTTTGGCCCGTATTGAGATGAATTTTTCATTATGTCAGAACATTTAGGGTTGAATTAGTGATAAACTGAGATCTAAGTAAATGAAAAAACAAGGCAGCTGTTAATTTTAGGGAAACAAAGTTGTACAAAAAAGGATATGTGATCATAGGAAATGTAAAGATGTAATCCTGTGGTTTAGCTCTGAACCATGTTGATGTAGTCATAATAAAGAAAATTATGGTTTAAGAAGAAATTGTGACATAAACATATTGGGAGAATGGGGGTAGAGGAAGTATGTGTATTTGTGTGCATTTGGGAGGTGGGGATGGTTCACCTTCCTGAAGCAGAAAGTTAGTAGATAGGGCCGGCCCCGTGGCTTAGCGGTTAAGTGCGTGCTCTCCGCTGCCAGCGGCCCGGGTTCGGATCCCGGGCGTGCACCGACACACTAGTTGTCAAGCCATGCTATGGCTGTGTCCCATTTAAAGTAGAGGAAGATGGGCATGGATGTTAGCCCAGGGCCAATCTGCCTCAGCAAAAAGAGGAGGATTGGCATCGGATGTTAGCTCAGGGCTGATCTTTCTCACAAAACAAAAAACAAAAAAACATGCTATAATGCCAGTGTAATCAAATCCACATAATCCAGTAACAATCAGTGGAACAGATGAGAGAATTAGAAATGGGTCCCAGAATATATGACAGTTTGACATTTGGTGAAGCTGATAGTTCAATTTAATGGAAAAAGAATGGATTTTCCATTAGGTGATACTTAGACAACAGGCTATCCCTGTGGAATAAAATAAAAGTGCCCCATTTAACACCTTATATAAAAGATAGATTAAGGATCTACATGTGAAAAATAAAGAATATTTTGCAAGAAAATTTAGTCCACTGTATAATCTAGGGCTAGAGATACTTTTGTAATGAGAATTAGAAATCCAGAAGGCTATCTTTTAAAAAAATATTTGAATATAGAAGAAATTCTTAAATTTCTATAAATCCTGAACCTATGGGAAAAATTTCTGTGGCAAAAGATACCATAAATAAAGCCAATAGATAAACAGTAGATCTGGAAAAATATTTAATGTAGAAGGCAAACCAAAAGTTAAAGTTGAAAATAAATAGAGCTTTTACCAATTGACACGAAAAAACAAGAGATATGAAGAGAAAATTCCTAGAAAAGCTCCTCCACATGGCACATCCAAGGATATCCAAATTCAATAGTAATAAGATAAATGCAAATTAAAGTAAAATGATTTGACACACATGTAAAAGAGTCTAACACCTGTTGCTGATGGGCGTGTGCAGGGAGTGCCTATACTTTGCCAAGAGAAAAATGAAGTGTTACAGTTTTTTGGGGGAAGCAATCTAGCAATATCTAATAAACTTTAAAATACAGGTACCTTTTGACCCAGATATCCTATTTCTGGAACCCAGTCCCATGAAATAAAAGGATCAGTGCATAAGCTTGTGTGCCTCAGGGCTTGGATGGTAGAGTTGTTCATGAGGACAGAAAATGGGAAACAAACCAAATATCCAGCAATGAGAAGTGAAGAAATTACAGTCCATACTCACCATGGGGGTAACAGGCGTAGCTGAAGGCCCAAGAAGGCTCCTATCTTGCTTTAAAAAAAAATCCTATTTATCACTGTCTTATGTTATAGATTTGCTTATTCTCTGTGTGCTCTGTTGAAATGTGAGTTCCACGAGAGCAGGGACCTTTTGTCTCCTGTGTATCTGTATGCCCAGATCAGTTCTGGTAACATAGTAGGTGCTTAATGAATTTTTTTTTTTTTTT